ATATGGCGGCTTCAACTCCTCCAACACTTCTCTGTCAATGGCTTCGCTGGACACCTTACCGAAGCTATCTCCCGTCCCACTGATCAAACCAGTGTTGACTACAAACTTTGGTATTTGATCGATCAAAACCTTATATCTGCACTTCTTTCCACAATCTCTATGGCTATTCTACACTACGTTCAATCTTTATCCACAGGCCATGATATATGGGCTGTTCTTGAACGTCGTCTACAACCGACGAATCGCACAAGAGTGATTCAAATCAATGAGTTACACAACATCCAAATAAAAGACCGATCCATACAACAATACCTCAAACAGATAAAAACACTTGTCGATAATGTTGCTGACGCCAGTTCTACTATTGACATCGAAGACGTCATTCTTTATATCCTCAAAGGTCTTCCCTCCACCTACAATGCCTTCACTGTTGTCATCCACACGGCTCAGCATCCCATTGATCTTGATGTCCTGTACTCCCTCCTCTGCAGCAAGGAGATCAACCTTCACAATCAGTAATTTAAAGAATCAAGCACACCTTCGGATCAAACAGCTCTCCACACGAACTGAACGAACAACTCCAAAAATAACAGCTCTTCCTCCTCTTGCCCATCATTCATTTCCGGAGCCTCGCCGCATCCCACCACTAATACCTCTTCAAGACCAACGTGCCAAATCTGCGATAATATGGGGCATTCTGCCCTCAATTACTGGCATCGCTGCAATCCCAAATACGTGCCTACCATAAATTGGCCATCGCGAGCAATGCTCACTAAACAACCTCCCACCACTTCCAACGATTGGATTCTTTACTCAGACGCTTCAACACAACTTACGTACAATCTTGCAATCCTCCTCATATCAAGGATTATACTCCGTTTCCATCGCCAATGGCTCCACCATTCTAATCCAATATACCTGGTAGGGCATTCTTCCCTTACCCGACTCAGCTCGTAAGCTTTATTTGTGTAATATTTTTCACGTTCCTACTCTAACCCATAATCATTTATTAATTTATAAACTAACCAGTGATAAGCATGTTTCGATTTCTTTCAATACTAATGGATTCGTTATAACAGACCTTCACGACAACCGACCTCTTCTTCATGATCGTCTTCATGATGGACTCTATCAAACTCAAGCTATGCCATATTGCCATCTTAATCAAAAGTTGCATTAAAAGCTCAGCCTACTTCCTCTTCCGTTTTGCACTCTCGGCTTGGCCACCCCAACAATCGAATTTTCTCTACTTTACCAAATCAAATTCAAGATTTATGCAAAACTCCCCCCCCCCCCCCTCTATTTGCATTTATTGTAATGTGGCTAAGAGCCACAAATTACCTTTCAATAAAAGTCAACCCCCCCCCCCCCCCTCTATTTGCATTTATTGTAATGTGGCTAAGAGCCACAAATTACCTTTCAATAAAAGTCTTTCCACTTCATCTAAATCATTTGAATTAATTCATTCGGACATTTGGGGTCCAGCCCCTCAACAATCCATAAATGGTTATACATTATACGTGATCTTTATTGACGATTTCATGCATTTTACTTGGTGCTCATGCATTCTAAAAATAAAACTCTAAATAAATTCAAAAATTTATGCTCCAACATCAAAACCAAATTTCAAACCACGCCTTAGATTTTTTGCTCTGATTGCGGTGACGAATTTACTAGCAATATGTTTAAAGAATTTCTGTTATCTAATGTCATCACACATCAAATCAGTTGTCCCCACACTCCTCAATAGAACGGGCTCGGTGAGCGAAAACATTGTCATCTGCTCGACATTTCTCGCACTTTACTTCATGCCTATGGTCTCCCCATTTCCTTTTGGGCCGAAGCAGTTACCACATCAACTTACCTAATCAATCGGCTACCATCCAAATCCATTTTGCTGCAAATTCCCTATCAAAAACTTCTCAACTAACCTCCCAAGTATCACTACCTTTGCACCTTCGGGTGTCTCTGCTTTCCGTGGCTCCACCCTTATGTTTCTAACAAACTCTCACCGAGCTCTCAACCGTGCATATCTCTTTGTTATTCCTCGTCACACAAGTGATACAAATGTCTCAACATTCAAACCAATCAAATTCACATATCGTGCCATGTTGTGTTTTACGAAACCAATTTTCCATTCAAAAACCAAAACCCAAACTTCTTATTCCCAAACTCATCCACACACACATCCCCTCTTCTACTTACTCAAACCTCAGTTTCTAACACCAGCCCCACTCAAATCCTAAACTCCAACTCTCCACCGCCAACCAATTCGCCTCTCAGACTACCGCTCATTTCTTCCTCACCTAACCCTCCTTCCTCACAGCAAACTACCTCCTCCTCCAACGGTCAAATCTAACGACCAACTCATCAAATGCAAACTAGGTTGAAGTATGGCATCTCTATACCCAAGAGAATCTTTGATCTTTCCACTACAATTGTCAATCCCACCATTCCCACCTCGTACAATCAAGCCGCAAAATCTCCTCAATGGCGCTCTGCTATGTCCTTCGAGTTCATGGCCCTTTAGTAGCAAGGGACATGGTCTCTCGTATCTCCACCTCCAAATCAACCAATCTTAGGTTGTAAATGGACCTTTCGCATCAAAACCCTTCCTAATGGTCAAATTGAACTTTATAAAGCTCGTCTCGTCGCTCAAGGGTACGATCAACAATTCGGCATAAACTACCACGAAACGTTTAGCCCGGTAGCTAAAATGCCAACCATTCACTTTCTCCTCACGCTAGCCCTTCACCATCAATGGCTAGTTCGCCAACTTGACGTATCTAACGCCTTCCTTCATGGAGATCTTGAGGAAGAAATCTATATGAAATAGCCACCAGGCTTCACCGACACACAACATCCTCATTACGTTTGCAAACTTCACAAATCTCTATACGGGTTGAAGCAAGCTCCTTGCCAGTGGTTCAACAAACTCATGACATTTCTTCAGTAATTTGGATTTGGATTCAGTCGTTCCGATCATTCTCTCCTTTTATATCTTCGTAATAACATTCAAGTATATATTCTAATTTACGTTGATGCATCTTGATTACAGGAAATGACAATCCCAACATCAATAAGCTGTTCGAGCATCTTCAATCCCAATCAAACAAATGGGCGAAGTCTCTCTCTTCCTTCGCATTAACATCAAACGAACTCCATCAGGTTTTCTACTAAGCCAACAACACTATGCACATACAATCCTTCAGAATGCAGATCTAGTCGATTGCAAACCTGCACCAACTCCCATCAACCCGAAGTCTACCTCTGCCACCTCATCCACTCAACCTTACATGGACCCTCACCAATATCGGAAACTCGCAGGGTCCTTACAATATATATCAATCACCAGACCTGACATTTTCTTCACTACGAACCACATCTGTCAACACATGCATTCTCCCATAACTTATGACTTCCAAATTCTCAAACGATTACTCCGCTACATCAAAGGAACCTCTCATTTTTATCTTCCGCTCACTACTAGAAATCTTAAACTTCAAACCTACAAAAATGTCGAATGGGCCGCAAACTCGCACAACATAAAATCTATCTTCGGATACTGCACATTCCTAGGCAACACCCTCATCTCCTGGTCGGTCAAGAAGCAGGTAACAGTTGCCAAATCCACTACATAAGCTGAATATCACTCTCTATCTTCAGCAACAGCCGATGTCCTTTGGCTCCACAGACTTGTCGAACTTCAAATTCCTCAATCAACTCCCACTGTAATATACTGCGATAACACATCTGCTATAGCCCTCGCCAACAATCCGGTCTTCCACGCTCACACAAAATATATTGAAATATATTTTCACTTCATCTGCGAGCACATGGACAAAGGAGCAATTTCAAACATTAGCTCCCTTGATCAACAACCAGGCATCCTAACCATACCTCTTCCAGCAGCTCGACTCAAAGACCCTGCTCTAAATTAACCATTCAACCTATAAATGATCAATTTGAGGGGGTCTGTTAGCACCTTGTCTTTAGCCGTCCATGTGGACCAATCACTCCACTTTCTTGTATCTTGTTTTTGTAACTTTTGCTATATATAGGTTTTATTTGTAATAGGAAATGAATTGAATACATAGCCTTTATTTCTTGTGAGTCTCTATTTCTTCGTTCTTGTTATTGTCTTTTCCTTTCCTTTGCAATTCTGACATTTAAGGCTCTCATTTCATTTAGCTTTTTCTTTGTTTGCGGTCCCCTATCTTGCTGTTAATTTTTTGGCGCGTTTGTGCTTGTAACCTTTATTAATAGTGAATGGGCATTTTGAGTATTTGACCATAATTTTTCTCCTAAAAAAAAAAAAAAACTAAACGGCTGCGCATTAATTAACCATTAAAAAAAGAGTTAGGAAATCTGAGTAAACCCCTCCAAATCATATTTACGTTCCAGCCTTTCGTAGATTAATCTATAGACTTTCGCTGTCCTTCCATCGCCATTTCCTTATCCGGTTCCCGCAAGTACGGCTGCTAGTGTCGGCGGTTGGTGCTCTGCCATCCCTGTCAAACGTCGCTCGCAAAATTGACTCGCGAAGTATGTAACGCTCTCCCACTCTCCGTTTACCCTCTCTGTTCAGATCTCTTCCCCTTCTTCTTCTTTCCATTCGAAGCTGGTAAGTTTCTTCACCTTATTTGGATCTATTTCCTGAATCTTTCATTTTTGCTTAATTGTTTTTTTATTACATATCGAGAACAGAGTCAGACTGGTGAATTTCATGGTGGAAATTTTCTTGAATCTGTTCTGCAGCAAAAATTGTTTAACTGATTGCAAAAGAGCTTCTTAGGAAGTCGCTTCCGTAATTAATTAGCTGAATTAGGTAGAGCTTGGGTGATTGAAGCTCGTATTGATATTGAAAATTGAACGTTTTCATTTCGATAATTAGCTGATGTTGAATTCTTTGATTATTATTATTTATTTTGAATGGCTTTTGGGTGACTGCTTATTGCTGTCGGCCGATTGCTTATTGCTGTTGGGTGATTTCGGTATAGTTTCTTCTTTTGGTGAGGAGAATGGCGGGAAGTGGAAGGCAGCAGAATTTGAGGAAGTATTTAGGAGCTATTAAGGACTCGACTACAGTTGGGCTGGCCAAAGTGAACAGTGACTACAAGGTGTGTTCAGTTTATGATTGTTGCAGGTTATCAATTATTAAGCTGCTGTCTGTGATTTTTTTTCCCTCGGATTTAGGAATTGGATATTGCAATCGTTAGGGCTACGAATCATGTTGAACGTCCTGCAAAGGAGAAGCACATCAAAGGTTAGTAGCATCTCGCAGTCTCTTTTCCTATCATATGCGGCAAAAAATTTCTTGAGTTTCTTTGAAATATTTTTTTTTTACTTTATTAAACTTTCAATCACCACCGCTTTTTTCCTTTTTCCTCTATGGTGAACAGTAAAGAGTCTCAAAGTTCGGAAGTTTTTCCTGTTTCAACTAACGTCTGCATGCCTAATTCCTGTTGGCTGAAGCTTCTCATAGCAGAAATTTTCTTGCAGTTTAGTTGACGCCTTAAAATCTTGCTAATTTGCTGAATGTTTGTGGCAAATTCTGAAAACTGCACGTCTTAACCATGCTAAAATAAACAACATTATTTTTCTTTATTCTCAAACTTACATCATGGGATAAATTTCCACGTTAGACGTTCCTGAATAGCTGAATCCATTTCCTAAACCCATTGAAGACTCTGCTCGTGTCCTTACTAAAGGCTGAAATGTTTGCCTTGTTCTAGCACGGAGCTTTCTACCTTACTATTTTCCTGCTGCACCTGAGTTCATTCACCAAAACCACCAACAATGACACCAGTAGCCACAAATCCAGCAGTTCCCCCAACTCCACACATCAACTTGAAATATATGTCGTGTCAGTTACTTTTTCTAATTGGTTGCAATCAAAACCTTTCAGGAATTTCAAACCTAATCTTTCTTATGTTATGCAATTAAACATGCTAAATCACTTGTCAGAAAATGCCAAATTTTCATTTTAAGTCTTAATTCCTCCCTACTTTATGCCAATCACACTTGCAAGGGGATATAGCTTCATTCTCATGATGTCTTAACTGATTACTCTCTCTAGTGCGAGCATGAGCTGCATCTTGCTTTGACTGGAGTGTTTATCTACTGGATTAGCTTCTTCTAGCTGTAATAAGCTGTGGCATCTTTTTAACCGATGTTTAACCTTTCCTATCTCCTATTCTCTACAAATTCTCCTTGCAACAGATCTATAATATACTCATTGTGGGTTTATATTATAGTCAAAACCATTATGATAATTATGGCAAAATTTATTGCTCACTTGATTATCATGACATTATGATGATCCCTACAATGAGTCTATGATTATAGGTATAAAAAAGCTCCCCATTTGTATTCTTATCATTCTTTCTTATGATGACCATTTTTATGATACTAGGTATCAAAGTTTAAAAGGCATTTTTTTATAAGGTGAGATGTAAGCCTCAAAATAAAATAATTAATTAAATTAAAAATATGACAAATAAAGCATGTTAGAGTAATATCTTTTAATTATTATATAACATCATAAACACATAAAAATAATCAACATTCTAAGATAAATATTTAAACACAAACAAGAAGTACAAAATAAACAAGCAAACATGTCCTAAAATAAACTAGTTTTATATTCACTCTCGGTTGTCTTTGTCGGTACCCTTGTTGAATTGTTATCTATCGAGTCGTCGACTATGTCACTATATGTGATGACTCATTTAGGTGTAGTAATTTTGAAGTTATCATCCTTGCAAGACAACCTCACTATCTTAGGAAGCAATCATTTTTTATACCCTTAATGAGGTTAGTGCACCATTTCTTTCTAGACGAACATATCCATGTTTTGTAATGCTGTGATGATCTTCCCACCATCCTATCAACACATCCACCAGTTTGCTTGTGAATTTCACATCACCCAACATTCTCACTCACCAGATGCAGCCTATGTCCATGCATACCCGTCGAATCCAGCTTGGTGTCTATCTATATTCACATATAGACTTGACAACCAGAGTTGTCAACTCCTCAATCGTCAGCTTATGTTCCATAAATCATCTGTCAGCTCTAAATTGAAAACCCTCAAGATCTATCCAGATAGTCATTGAGCATCCCATCAATGAGTCTGCTAGTCCATGCTATCAGCCATGCCATGCTTAAAGTTGGTTAGCTATTTGCCAACCTCTATCCATTTCTATATAAATACTTGCCCTAGGATTTACATCATAATTGTCTCACCTTATGGTGATTAGATAGGGTTATTTCATTGTAAATCATCATTTTAAAATACACAATTTGAGGCATGCCTTGAGGCTCTCATATCTCTACCTTCCAGTCTCTATTTCTCTCTAAAATCTCTATCATCTTTCTCTCTCTATACAGAGAGAAAATATTTTTTATTTAACCCCTCAAATCTCTTCCATTCTCTCTTTCTCTTTCTCTCTCTACACATATTTATAGAAAAAAAAAAGAATGAAGCCAAAAATAGAAAAAAGAAGGAATTTAGGAAAAATGGAAAAAAGCAAAATAAGAGATTGTTTTTTATGTTACCTTGCAAATTTTCACCATCACGTCATTGAGGTCATCTTGCATAAAGGTATAATTTTGAAATCTCAAAATGAATTACTTTGATAGGAATCTGATCTCTGCATAGCAAAAACAACAATAACGAAAATAAAATGTAGTAAAAATCAACGACAAAGATTTTTATTTCGGCAAAACAAACCAATATACAAGTTGATCTACTATTTGAGAGGTAGATCGACTCTCCACAAACCCTAGGCATCGCTAGGAACAACTCCAAAGAAAACTACAACAAAACATAATTCGCATAATAAAAAATAAAACAACCCAATTCATCGTAATATAAACCTTCCTACTGCCCTCCCAAATCTAAATTTAAATCAACCATATTTCCCTAAATAAACCTTTCATAATTCCCTCCCAAATTTGAATTCAAATCAGCTCTCTTTTCCTAAATAAATCTTTCCTAATTTCTTTCCAAACTTGAATTCAAATCAACACTTTTTCCCTAAATAAACTTTTTAAATTACCTCCCAAATTTAGCTTTCTATGATAAGTAACGAAAGTGGAATTAATCTCCTTTTCTCTACTTACCTTTCGCCCACCTTAATGGGGCTAACAGGCTCAGCCGGTTCATCAATACTCCTCTCCCAAAGATTCACTTTATCCTCAAGGTAGAACGTAAGAAATTGTTGTTGAAGCACTGGACTAATATCACTAGATCGAAAAATGGACTTATGCTGGGTCGAATGATCCATGCCTCCATCATCTTTCTCATCAATCTCTCATTCTCATCATTCTGAATTTGGGGATATCAGTACGGACGAACAATGATAGATGAGATTCCATCCTTCAAAATGATAGCATGCTCGTGTTCCCGCGAAGAAGGCAACCTCTGAGCTAACTGGAACACCTCTTGATATTATTGGAGTGGCTGAACCATGTCTGGTGCTTCTATCTTCTCCCTATATTCTTCTCCTTCCTAACTCTACAGCTCTACTAAAAATCTCACTCCTTCACGTTTTCCCCTTGGAAGTGGCTCCAAATGTGATATCTCCTCTTCTTCTCCCAAAATTTTCAACTCCTAATCCTCCCTCATAGTTCTTGCTTCCTTGTCCGGTCAACGGTGTCCTTGTCTTTGATAATGCTATCTTTGTTTGAAACTCTAACATCTCTTTCATCATCTCTTCCAGATTCAAAAGTATGCCCTCAATTGCTGAAATTCACTCTCCAAATTCAAATTTTAGATTTTCAACTTCCTCATCAAGCCTCTTCTTCTACGCATCAACCTTCTTAGCCGCCATAAGTCCCAAAAAAGATGTTCTGATACCAATTTGATATGAATTCGATCTCATCAGAGAAAAAAATAACAATAATCAAGAGAAAATGCAACATAAATCAACAAGAAAGATTTTATTTTGACAAAACAAACCAAGATACAAGTTGATATACCATTCGAGAGGTAGATCAACTCTCCAAAAGCCCTAGGCACTGCTAAAAACAACTCCAAATAAAACTACAACAAAGCACAATTCCCATAATAAAAAATAAAACAATCCAATTAACCCTAATATAAACCTTCCTATTTCCCTTCCACATCTTAATTCAAATTAGTCATCTTTCCCTAAATAAATCTTTCTTAATTTCTATGTTGCACCGATACACCTATTTATGAAGGCGTGTTGTATCGGATACTGCAAAGCTGTATCCAATTAAAATAATATTTAATTTCGAAAGAACACGCATATCAGATACGCGTTCTGTTGAAAAACAAAAAAAATTCTGAAAAAATGACACAAAGAGAGAGGCCTAACATTGAGAAGTTGCTCGAGCCAACCATAGGAGTATGGAAGGAAAAAAAAAAGTTACTAGACATTTAATGCTTACTTTTATTTTGATATTATAAACTATAAGGCTACAAATGATGTTGCTTTCATTTTTTTTGTCATTGAAAATATTATGCTTTGATTGCTTTCTTAATTTTTATGTATGATTTATAAACTATAATGCTGTGTCAACGCCGTAATTATATTATGTATTTTTAAGAATTGACGTGTCTCGTATCCGTATCGTGTCGTATCCGTATCGGTGCTACATAACTTAATTTCCCCCTAAATATTAATTCAAATCAGTCCTCTTTCGTTAAAATATATCTTTCCTAATTTCCTCCGAAATCTGAATTCAAATCAGTCTTCTTTCCTTAAATAAACTTTTCTAATTCTCTCCCAATTTTAGTTTTTTATATAAGTAATTAAAGTAGAATTAATCCCTTTAGCTCTTCTTGGCCGCTGCCCACCCTTGTGGGGCCCACAAGCTTAGTCGATCCATCATACTCATGCATGTTGTTCCAATTTGGCATGGAAACTTGTGAAATAAGTACTCATTTGCATTGTTCTAATATGTAAGAAAATCCATGCCTTTTGTTTATGTAGATGGTCCCCATGCGCTTTTTTAATTGTGTTGGGGTAGAAGACTCCCAGCCACGGTGTCGCACAACACCCATCATCCCTCTTCTTTTTAAGCATGGTGGGGCGCTCCCTATAGATGCCCTATATGTGAGAGGATGCCAGGAGGGTGTTGAAATTCAAATTAGGCAAGTAAATATGGAACCTGATATAAACAACTTATTTAAACACAATGAAGTGAAATAAAATTTGCAAAAAATGAAAACAAGGCATGAACTATAAATGAACATATAGGAAACTTGCAATGAACTTTCTCTCAAATGATTAT